CAGGATCAACGTCTGCAGGCCGTCTCCGCTGGCTCCCGGGCCGCTGATCTCCGACGAGTTGCCGTGAAAGTAGGTTGCCATTGATTATAAATTTTTTCTTGTTCTAATTCCAATAACTAAAAAGAAACTGAAAAAAAAAAAAAAAGTTGGGATTACGTGTCAGCTTTTAATTCACATCCCAATAACTTTTCACACACACACACAGACACTCACATGTGTGTTTTACCTTGTGTTGAAGTATCAATTATTTGAGTTTTATTTCAGATGAGAGAGACACAGAGTTGGAGACGAAACAACTGTGGCGCTTAATTGACCACTCAAAACTACTGTGATTGAGAAGACTCTAATTCTGATCGGCTCTCACACCCCTGAAAGTTGTAATTAAAATATTCATATATATATATATATATTAAAATAACTCCTTGTGCCTAAAAAGTCCAACATACACTATATTACCAAATTAATAATATAAAATAAAAAAATGCAAAAAATAAAAAAATATTACAAGAAGTCATAATCTAAAGCACTAGTGTTGTTATCTTCTGTTCTACCTTCTTCTTCTTCTTTCTTCATAAAAAAAAAAAATTTAAAATTCTCTATTTATTTGTGAATATATATATATTATTGGGGAAAGAGAGAATGAGTGAGAGAGAAAGGGATTGGTTATAAGGTTAAAAATATAAAATATAAAATAATATTATTTGGTATACCTCGTGTGATGATGGTGAAGATTATTTGAGTGTGCACGTGTTCCATATCTTCATCACCATCTGCAAAACAAAATTATGGTGAAGAGAAATTTTTATAGTTAAATATATCTCCTTGTGATTGTTCCTCATGTGAGCATATGAGAGAGAGAGAGAGAGAGAGAGAGAGAGAGAGAGAGATTAGCCTAAGAAAACAAGAGTGTAATCATATAAGGCTTCATATGTATGTACCCACCATAGATACCATGGCTATTTTGAGTTTTATGAGGTGATGAGAGCTATGAGATATAGACTTATTTGTGTGCTTTTTGTAGTAATTTTCTTTCTTTCTTATTCAACTCAAAAAAGAAAAAAAAATAAAAAAATTCTCTCTGTCATCACACTACAAAGAAAACCATAGCTCCTTGCAAAAACTCTCATCCCCTTCTTGATAAGGAAATAAAAGAGGTGTGGAGAGAAAGAGAGAGAGAGGGGGCCTGTGCTAAAAAGACTTGGAAAAAGATGCCCCCTCTTTTTATTCACTCATTTTATCCACATCATTTACTTTTTTTCCTTTTATTTTGCTTCACATCAAAACAATAAATAAATAAATAAATAAACTGTGGTTAACGCATGACGTCTTTGGTGTTGCTTATTTACGGAATACCACTATTTAGAGGTGTTAGGCTTCGAACCCCTTCCTTCAAAAAAAGGGCTTATCAACATACGTAGACTATGTTTTGGTAGACAAATAAATTGATTTATAGCTTATTTAGTTAGCTTAGAGTATCCACAATGCTTTGGGTTCAATCACAAGAAAATGTATGTCACATGAGAAAGAGACATAGTCTAAAAAAAATGTATTCTCCAATTCAAACAAAAGTAGGCTGGGTCATGCTGATGTGAAAGCTAAAAAAGAGACTCGATCTACCCTTAAGTCTATTTTAGACCCAAATAGATACTTAGTCTCTTTGCATTGGAGTGAATTTTATTAATTTTACCTACTTTTATCCATGTCATCAAAGACTTGAGTTTATTTACATGTCACATAGGCAAGACTAGACGCAATGCATTGTAGATGCTCAACTTCATCTACTTAAATATGCTTCATTTTGTTAGAACGAGTTTTTTCTTTTTTTTTTTTAAAAAAAAAATCGAACTTATCTCATAAGCTTCTTTGAGTAGCTTTTCAAATAAGCTCGTTGAGATTTTTATTGCAGCTAGTTTATCAGCTAATTTTATCAAACATTTATATAATCTAAGCTAGCTTATCAGCTATGAGTCATAAGCAAACTATAAACTAAAAAATTAATAATAAGCTATAAGCTGCTTATCAGCTAGTTTTAAAATAGCCTAAGAATTGATGAATTGATTTATTGGGTACATACATATATGATGTTGATTATGCTGCTACTGATATGGACTTTGTTTTTCTTTCTGCCATTTTCAAAAATTCTTTCCCATAGATTATATCCCTTTTTTATTATTTTTTTTTGGTTTTATTTTATTTTTTGGAGTGGTGTTTGAGCTTTTTATGGGCAAAAGGGAAAGTTCAAGTGATTTGATCTTCCTTTTTCCAGATCATGATTTGATGCATTTTATCTAAGCTACCTGCAAAGAAGTTGAACTTTTTTTCTCTCTCTGAGTAAAATGAAAATCATTTAGAAAAAAAAAAAAAATTGAAATTAATTAAAGATGTGGATGGATGCTCACTCTGTGTTGTGTACTTGTGTGTGTGTGTGTGTGTGTGTGAAATTCCAATAGGTATATGAAAACGCCATTATCAAATTGTGTCAGAAAGATGCAATATACACAGACAGATGAAAAACGAGGTAACGTCCACTTCCCACTAAAGAAAAATTTAACGGATGATCTAATCATACATATTGATAAATAATGAGTGTTATTATAGTCCGTCGGTATTTGTAATCATTAGATTATAATGTAACCATCGTGGATAGTTGATTTAACGGTTACAAACTCCGACGGAATGGTTTCGTAAGGGAACAATCTCTCATTATTTATATATCCACCGCTTATGTAATATGCACACATTGGTGATGTTGATATGTTCAAAAAAATACATTACCAATGTGTGCATCAGTGCATGCCACATAAGCGGTGGATATATTAACATGTGCCCACTGTGGATATGTGAGCATTGTTGTATTTATATATGTTATTGAAAGGTAAAATAAAATAATGTGATATACTTGTTAATAAAAAAAAAAAGATATTTATTATTTTTTAATTTTATTTTATTTTTACCAGTGTTCAACTGTGACAATTTTTAAAATTTACTAGTACATTTTGAAAGTAAATAAGTATAATTGTTAAAAGTTTAAATTTAAATTTAGCAAAAATGATTGAATTTTTTGCCTAAATTCTACCACTCATTATTACTACTCATTTATTTTATTTTTTTTGGATAAATTACAATGATAGAGAAATGAAAAAAAGAAGAAGAATTCAATTTCATTTTATTTTATTTTAATTATGTATTTTGTGTGAATGGAGCGTGGGATGTGAGGGGTCCCCCCCCTTTTTTCATTATTGATTTCAATTTGTCCTCTTTTGGTTACCTATTTGTTATTTATTATTCATTTGCTTAATTGTTTATATACTTATTTATGGGTGTTTTATCTTGGTATAATATTTTGTGTGGTGGAAGTAGGAATTTGCAGATAAAGCTATTTAAATGCCACGGAACGCGGGACCAACTACCATATAACAACACCTACTTAAATGTCAAAAACCTATTTTGTATTATTATCTCTTTTTTTTTTTGGCATAAGAAAATTGTCTACTCAACCTACAAATTATGTACATATGATACATTTTCAAACTCTGATTAGCAAAAAAAA